TTCATTCCTCCCTCTCTTTCTCTACAGACTTTCCTACGTTGGCTGCCGTCACCGCCACCGTCATCGCCGCCGGCCGGTCCTTCGACTTACCTCGCGATCGCGTCCCCCGACTCGATGCTTCTCTTAACGATATTCGCTCGAACAGTGATAAAGATACTATGCGTCTCTGGGATACTTTTTGTTCGAGCAGTTTTCGTCCTGTCTGTTGATCTGGTACGCGACTTTTTCCTTCTCTTTTACGATCCAGTCACGTTTCTTCCACGACTTTTCCAGACGACCTGTTGTTACCATTCGCTTCTTCTCATTGGTGTACTCTGTTCGCTTTCTTTTTTGCATATTTGCTTTTTATATGTTATTTTTTTTTCTTTTCATTTTTGTAAATTTCGCTTTGACGTTTATTTATCGTTTATTCTTCAATGATAATGATAGAATGGGATATTTTTATCTTCAAAGAAGTTTTTTCTTACGCAATTAGAAACATCTTAACGCTTTATTGATTCGCCGCGTGAAAAGTTGCTTTGAATCCTTCGTTTCTTTGTACTGTTCGAATACTTTGATTTCTCATTTATATTTTAACTGGTCATATATTTCAATTCTCATATTTTCTTCGTGCTTGCTGCTGATTTATTTTTTGAAACGAATACTTTCAGTTTTCAACAAATAATAAATTTATCAATATTAAAACTTTAGATATATTTTTTTTTAAATATTTTTCTTTCGGTTCAATATTCGTCGAATATTCTTATTTGTGCTGATATAAAATTCATTTGTTTTTTCCTTTTTTTATTCTATTCATTCATATTTTATAAATTTTCTAATATTTAAAATATATAAACATTTTGATTTTCTTTGAATTTATCATTATTTTTATATTATTATTATTCCTGAAATTTTAATTATACATTTTAATTATTAATATGATTATATTAATAAATACTTAATAAATATTTTTATTTTTGTTTTTAAATTTTATTTAAATAATATCTATTATATAATAATATCTATTATATCTAATTTTTTATTTCGTGTTATTTAGGTATGATATTTATTTGAAATTCATTTCAACTATGCAATCATTTACATATAGATCGAATTGTTAAAAGGGATATATCATTAACATTGGTAACTTTATAGTATGTGAAATGAAATTCATTTTCTGCCATTTTAAAATATCTATATCATTATTTTACCGAAAAATATTTTGGAACTTATACGAAATGAAGTTTTCAGAA